TTTTTGATATATTACATCATATAAAAGTATTTAAAAAAATAAAATTTGTAAAATGTATTTTTATTATTAATTAAAGAGTCATTTTTTATTTTGGTGTATATATAATTTGATAAATATAAAACAGCATAAAAATCTCGATATAATATAATATAATATTTTAGGTGTAAATACGTGTAATAACAATAAACATATTATTATTTGCTTAAGTGTTTTTTAGATTAAAATTATTTGAAATTGATTATTGTATACCGATAGTGCCGTTTGCCGTATGAAATATGTGTATTATAACAGTGATGGTTGACGAGCGATGCACCAGTGACGTCACACGTAAAACAAAACTGATGAATATACGCGGAAGCCATGGTCAGATAAAATGTTTGAGACTACTCTAAATTTTTATTTTTCATGCACTATTTGATTTCTTTGTAATGAAAAAAATATTTGTTTTGTTTTATACTCCTTTAAGAGGGCCTTGAAAGTCTAATAAAGTGGTCGATATGTTTTAATTAATTATTCAGAAACAAGCATTTAATTATAGGTTGATATAAGTACTGTAATATATTAACTATTAAAGAATGTATTCTATTTAAATAAATATTTGAAAATGTATGCCTAATTAACTAATTAATTAGTAAATTATATTTAATGTTATAAGACCATAAATTGTATTTCTGATTTATATTTCAGAGTTATTTTTGATACTTAACATACCTATGTGTTTATTGTAAAGAATAATTAATAATGGAAAAGGCATAAAAGAGTTTTTTAAAACCTTTTTAGGGTGTTTTTTAGAAAAAAAAGTCATTTGGGATTTATAACAGAAGGATATAGGTCTAATTTATATTATAATATCTACATATAAGGCATATAACTTATAAGGCTATAAGTATAAAAAAAATATAATATAATAAAATATAAGTATGTATACACCTATAACCTATATAATACGCTTAGATAGATGCTCATTATTAGGTACATTTAGAATTTTAAATCATGTTACCTGCGCAATACCAGTACATAATATGCGCTTGAAAAATACAATATAAAAGATATACAAATGTATGCGATGGGTTTATTCTATTTTCACTTTTTTATTTTGGTTATAAATGAATACATTTAGTAAAATTCGAATTTATTAGACGTGCAGCACAATATAACTAATATTTTATGTATAAAACAGCATTATTTATTTATTTGATTGACTTAATGTAGGTACTAAAAAGTATTTTTCTGATAAAAAAATATTCTAAATTAGTAATATTGTCTTCCGAATATTTCATACTCTAATCATTTCTTATAAGAAAAAAAATGTTAATGTGTGTATTAGATTTTGTGTTATTTCAGCTAAGTTAGTAAAGACTGGAATATTGTATGAAGGGTGAAAGAGAAAGTTATTATTATGCCTACTGGTTGTATGTTATACTATTTATATGTATCAATCAATTTAATATTATATTTTTCTACGTCATACTCGTCATAGTAAATTATAGTCTACATTACTATCCATAAAACTTAGAATAGATCGACATTATTATTTTAAAGTGAATAATTTAGATTTGTTTCACACATAGGTATATTTCGTTGTTATTGTGATGTAATTATATTAAAAAATAAACTGTAAAAAACAATATTATATTACATTTATTATTATTTATTATAAATAAATCATACAATATAATATTACTATACTATTGTATTTCATTATATTGGTATTATAATATACGGTCCGGTATGTAGGTACTAACAAATAAAATAAATAATTTACATCAGATGTAGGTACACCGCAGGTTTTTTGAGAAAAAAATTAGAAACAAAATAGATTTATACATCTAACCTGTTTTAAAAATGGGAAAATTATATTACATGCATATTTGTCAAAGGATTATACATAATAATAAGTAATAAGTATAATATTAGCCTAATTAAATTAGGTATTTTTTATTTGAAATCTTGTCTATGAATGTATTATAATAGTGTCGACTCACCTGTCTATCATTGATGTTGTTTACGTCTTCTCCCTCTTGAAGTTTAATACTACCGTCGTGTATTGGATAGGCGGCAGAAATTATTTCGGTCTCCAGCAATTGTTCAAGACTCATAACATTAGCGCCTTGTTTATTACCAGAACCGATTCGGAGTAAGATATGCCACACGATCTGAGCCCGTTGGGCGGATGTTAATTTTTTATTAAATTTTTCGTGATTACCATTTCCATTTGGATACTGAAACAAAAATGGTCGAGTCCAATTCGATTTCATCAAGACTATTAAATAATAGTGAACATTAGTTACCTATACTTATTATATAAATAGGTATAATTTTTTTCTATATTTATTTTCAATAACTAATTACAGAAGTCACGCAAGCCTTTGCAGTAGTCATAAATTATGTATACTTCTACATTGTCTGAACCTATTATTACAAAATATATTGTTCTAGTAAATCAAATGTTTTAAAATAAGTATATTAAAATAGCTCCGTAAATAGCCGTTTATTGTTGTTATATTTTAAAAACAGTGTGTTATAATAGTTGTGTGGTTATAATTTTTTGTTTTAGAAATATTCGAATTACGAGTGATTCACAAGCAGTTTTGCTTCAATTTTTTCATTATTAGGTAGGTGTAATGAATTGAATAATAATAGGATTTTTGTAATTTTTATAGTACCTATAATTATGAATAATATTTTCAAATACATAGATTTATATACTATTTAAGGATTATCTTTTGGCGATACAAACTTATTTTTCAAATGAGAAACAACCTTTTTTTTAAATAATTAAATAATGATTTTTTTTCCTTGGTAGTTGGTGAATCACCTTACAGTATCAATAACACTTTTCTATTGCAACCATACAAATAAAAATAACGAATTGATTAATGGAATTCATACAATTGTAAAATTGTTGAAAAAAAATAGTTCCATTCTTAGTTTTTATTGTACAATATTACTGTTATTAACGTGTATGTATGATAACAATAATTTAAATAATTGTTTTAAACTATATTATATTATTATTTATTTGAAAATATTTTTTTTATTTCATTTAAATAGGTATGGGTTTATAAAAAAATTTTTTTTAATGAAAACAATAACAAAACATAATTATCAAGACCCCTTAGTTTAATTGATGACTATATTGACCATTGTATATCTGATGTCTTTGATGGTAAATGGTAAATACCATTTGATTGATGTCAGTATAATATTTTATTTTATAGTTATTCTGTAATCGTATATGATAAAATTATGAATTTTTAGCATAAATAGCCAAATAGGTATCTGGAAAATATATTAAAAACTTATGATAGCATATTTTTTCAATGATTTTCCTTTCTAATATTATTATATGTTCACTTAATATGTCATTTATGGATTTTTAGGTCAATTTTTCCTATTTATATTGTCATTTAGGACATAAATACTGAAGTATTTTAGCAGTATAATATTATTTCGTACTTATTTGAATAAGATATCGTCATAAGACTAATCGTAGATTTTAACAAATAAACATATGTCATTATACTTAAAGAATTTAAAGATAATATACCTGTTGGTAATTAACATCTTTCGAATTGTAAAGTGTTTGTTTATCTTCGCTTTTACTGTCACTATTGGTTGCATGACACCGGCAACTGCATCCCAAGAGACGCTGCTCTAGCTGTAGCAAAGCAAAGCATGTTCGGCCTGCATCTAGTGAACACTTAAGTATAATAAAAATAAGTAATGATATAAATAGTTTGAATATTTAAAAAATGGTTTTTAGCTTAAGTTTATGTCTGATGATGCCTGACATAAGCTTAATTAAAATGTAATATAGAACAATAAAATAAAACAATTGGTTAAAGTCACGATAGATACCAATACTATCAAACGTGTTAAAATGTGTAGGTTAGGTAGTTGAGTAAGGAGATACTATGTCGCGCGTATTATTCGGCAATTTGAATTTAGTATATTATATAAAATAACAATAATCGTAATTTTAATAAATACTGACCGTTGGATCATCATCGATGTTTACCAAAATCCCATGTGCTCGTAATTCGTGATAAAACTTTCGTCTTTCAGTCTCGTCGTTCAGTTTACTGTCATCCTCCTTAACTATTCGTTGCCTTTTATAGGCTAACACAAAATCAACAGTGTTAAGTTTCCTATGTTCATCGAGAATTTTGGTTGAAGATTTCCGATGCTTGTTGTATAAAATATTCAAACAGTATAATATATTATTAACCAAGTATCTAATAAGTTATAATATTATTATTATAAATTAATAATTAGTATGTTTGCAAGTGTATCGACTGTGAGCACTTTTAACGTAGGTGAAAAATAATTGTATAACTTCAGTCACGTGGGGGAATGAATATTATTTATAGTAGGTATCAAAATATTTATTGAAATGGATAATTGGTGAACTTTTCTACACATCTTCTATATAATATCACTTGTTTAACAACAATTTTTAGAAAAAAACAAAACACTGTAGTAGAGAGTTTGTAATAAACTTCATATGTTTTAAAATGTTATACCTCGTATAATACTGTATAATAATCTATTAAAATTATAACTCTACTATTCTGAGTTCTAGTTAAAAACTTTAGGTATTATACACCAAAATAACAAGTTATATTGTGATTACAGATTGCAGGATATATACGTATCTATACTTAAATACAGTACATCATATTATCTACCTATTGGCATTTTACATATCTAAGGCTTTTATAGTTTTATATTATTCTGCAACTTCAGCAGACCAATTGAGTCAGGAGTGATATTGATGTATACATACTAAGAACATTACCTATATTTTATGGAATGTTAAATTGGATCGAAGTAAAATTATTGATATATGTATAAGTAGGTAGGTACCTATGTCCTATATATATATATATATATGTGATGCAATTGTATTCAGCCACTCTTTTTCGCAACGATGCAACCCATTTGCACCCATCGCACCTTTTTATTACCCATAATATGCTCCAGAAATATTAATACAATTGCATTAAAACTGTGCAACGTTGTCAAACTTTATTTTGGAATACAATGCAATGATACTTATTATCATTGCATTGTATTCTTGTGATTTTATTTTCAACTTATAAATTATTAAGTTATAATGTAACTATTGTATACAAATAACGTTACACTCTTATAGATATTATCGAATATAGGTTTCTTTTATTTCAATTGCACTTCATGACGACTCTCACTTCTCTTTGTGAATGCGCAACTGAACTAGTAAATTATACTTAAGTTGCGCAAGTATAAACATGAAATTTAAAATAACAAATACTACTAAAAATCGTGAATGTTTAATTTTTTGTAACTTTAAATATTCCACATCAGTAGAAATTTGGTTTCGAGTAATATAAGTAGGCGTTGCGTTATAAAAAATTGTAGAAGGTACGTAAATATTATAAAAAATATTTATTCTTGATCAACACTAATCGATATTAAAGACAAACATAATCATGAACCAAATACTATTGAAGATTTAAACTTGCTAAAAGTTAGAGGTAAGTACAAAAGAAAAGCCCACGAGGATTTAAATTTACAGTCAAATAAAATAATACATAATCTTCATATTGTAGTACATCCATATTTACTGATATTAATAGTATTAGAAAATCTATATACCACGAACGACGAAAAGTGCTACCTTCCATTTTTATATATTTAGAGAGATTGATTTATAATGAAATATTTATTATAATATAAGTTTTTTAAATTTAAAATGTTTATATTTTTATACAATTTTATGTGAGATGAGTTTTGACTACAGTACATAAAACTTAGTGTGAATTACAGTGTTGTCCAACAATAAAATATTGGCACTAATTTTTTTAAACAAAAAATTATAAAATTTAAACTATGATATAGGTCTTAGATAATTATTATTAGTGTATTATAATCTACTAATCTACTTAATCTAAGTATTTATAAATACATAAGTAATTCATTTTATGCATCACAACGGCAACATTGTATGTGAAATGGGTTCATATGGGCTACAAATTGGCAGATAGTGCTTTATCTATCGGTCTCATCTGTCCATTTCCCTCGAGGTGCAAATGTGCTGTAACCTTGTGCAATAACTATTACTCATGTATGTCATCAAAAAATTGTTTGTTATATTTATAAATTGTGAGTTTTGTGTGCAGAACTCACAATCGCAAACTTGTATTGTGCTTTTTTAAAATAAAAATTACGAATGTAAAAATAATTTTGTAGTTATGAAGTGTGCATTTCAGTCTATAATGTTCCTTCTATAACATAATTCTTAACATGATTCTTAGTCGAAAATCTTACAGGTACCAACGATTATTAATGGGGTGGCTAGCTACTTAAAATGCATTATAAAAAAAAAATGTTCTGGCTCCGAAAGACAGATTAGTTTGTATTAAAATCTTCTAAATATTTTCAATTTAAATACTCAAGGTTTGAAAATCTGATATAATTTCTCTCCGAAGTTGTTCTAACTTGTAGATATTTTAACATATTGTAAACTAAGGTGCTTTTTTATGGTCGTACTTCACTTGTACATCATTATTGTTCAGTTTACATTTTGTTCAGATTTTGGAATACCTATCTGTTTAATGTTTATCTTTGCGTTTAACAATAGAATTGGAAGAAATGAGGAGTGCCTTTGGGCAACTTTCAGTTCAAATTTTGACGTTCATAGAATTAAATTTTAAATATATTAATTATGGCTATCTAAATTTAAAATGTAATTAAATACCTATATATGCCAATACATTTTAATTGTGTATATATATTTTTTATGTATATTATTATAATTTATATACCTGCTAATTATATTATCGGGTGAATTATAACAATAAATTATTGGATTTTCAAGTTTGATCAGAATTTGGTATATTATAGGAAGTTCTTTTCGCTGGTTGTCGTTTGCGCATCACTATTTTTAATTTTGACCTTTTTTGTCAGACTATTGCACATCGTTCGATGTTTGGGTTATACATCGTGCGCATTGACCGTTTAAAAGGTTCTACATAATTTGCACATCATTATTATTTAACAATATAAATGAAAAAGGTGTACACTCAAAGCGCAAGTTGTTTTCTAAATTTGATCTAAAAATCTCTTAATAATATTCACATAATATTGCATTTAATTAAATTTTCAAATATTGCATAGATATAATGATGTGATACCAAGTATAAATGTAATGTTATAGAGTTAAATTTTCGATTTTTGTTGAATATTGTCGAAATTTAAACTAAAAATATTGATGTGTGTTTATTATTTTTATTTTTAAGTTTAAAAATCTTAAATTATTAATTCTCTATATATAATATTAATTGTTATACAACATATAATACCATTTTTTATACCCTTTATTGTTCAAAATATTTATGCGCATTTGATGTACGATAATTAGGAGTACCTAGGTAAATAGACATTGCGTAAACGATGTGCGATATTTTTGGACAGGTAAACAGACGATGCGCAAGTGATATAGGTACGGCCGTTCTTTTAATATGTGACGTATCACGTATCCATATATATATATATATATATCCATACCTACAACTTTTTAAATATATTTTATATCCTTATATCGGTAGATAAGTTGATGCGCAAACGATGTACGATATTTTGGCCCATATGTATGCAACCATTAAATTTTATTTTATCAGAGTCCTAAGTTCAAATTATTGTCCGTCTCCTTCACCCCAAAATTGTTTTGTTGTATTATATATAGCTACAACAATTTTCTTATAATTATTTTTTATTTTTATTTTGGCCTGAAATACTTTTGAAAGTACTAACAGCCCTTCCACAGCATTTCCAATGGAAATTTTTTGGTGGAGGTGACAATTAGTGCCTACGTGCAATAAATGGTGATTATTACCTCGATTCGTTGAGAAAGATATGGTGACGGCGGTACTGGTGGTAGAGGTGGTGGTGATGGTGGTGATTGTGATATTGCCAAATCGACTTCGGCAGCGATATCGATATGGTTTTCGTTTTCAGTTGGTGTGCCGATTTCGGCCGTTGGCGGAGATAGATCGCGTTCCCCGTCGCTCGCCGGACGTTGTCCAATAACACGTGCTCCAAGACTTAACGCCGCGTGTCTCAACTGTACTTCAAATGACATAGCCGCCTCCTGAGTCGTCTGTGACAGAGTAGACGACGGCGATCTGTGTTGATGATGATTCTGTACTTTCCGAGAGCTGCTATCATCGTCGTCCGATGGCATTTTTTGACAAAAATGGGAAAATTTCACAATATTGATGGTAATATATTTATGTTGCACGGCATTCGAGCGTAGATTACACACTGTCACTGTTGGAGGAACTGCGAAGCGACCGACGGGCGAAAATCGTGTTTGAAAAAACGACCACTACACGGTCACATCGTTTTCCTATATTATGTAGGTAGCATGACCACGGTGTATTATATATCTAGATCACTACCCACACAACCCTTTGTCAACCCCTCACCCACCGTGCCATACACGCGCACACCCATCATTATATTTATACCATCACGCCACAATATAAAGTCTCGTGCGTAATCATAATATCGCCGATAAATAATTCAATAAATAATATCACTATATGCAGCTAAACAGAATGATGAGTGTCCTACAGCGCACCTTCTTTATAAAATATAACTATACATCAGTTGACTGTCGACTGCAGGCCGTCGGTGTTTAATTCATTAATTTATAAAATAGGTAGGTAGGAGCTAGATCGTATGTATAAATATATAAAATATTCTTGGAAACGTGCAACATAATTCATTGTAGGTACAATACCATCACCTATACATGTATAAATATGATACCTATGTATCTTTTCCATCATACAGTATAAATGAACCAGAATAAGTGGACATGAGTATATGTTATGCACACAGGGCATGGTTTTATGTCACGCAATAGGTATTATAAGTAACAACTAATAAATAAAATAAATGAAAAGAAAAAACGCTATTAAAATGTCAATGTTAGGAAAAATAACCCTTTTGAATTGGCATGAAAAAGAGATAGAAATAGGTATGGTTTTCCTGTGACCTTTATTTTTATAGGTACAATATAAAATGTAGGTAGTTATTATAGGCAAAGATTTAAAGGTCTAGCCAAAACTGACTTTTTTATGAAAGTTCTTTGTATAAACATTTGAAATCAATTTTTCTCTAGAAGAAAAAAATTATGAATTAGAATTATATAAATTTAAATTCGCAAATCTTAGCATTGGCAGAGTTATCAGACACCTAAATATACACCTATGGGCTATGACTATCTATATACACTACTTGACACTTACTAATTATTCTACCAGGTTTAATAATAATAGAATAAAAGCATAATAATAAACATCAAATCTATTTATCATTATTCACAGCATAATATTTTTACATATATCTATTAAAAGTGTTGTTGTGTGAACATATTTTGTAGGTAAAGTTATATACTACTATATAGGAAGGTAAAACGGTACACTCCAGAAGTAATTTGAAGTAATTTGATTAACATGACAATGTAGAGATGGCTATTATGAAGTCTCTAATTCAACATATTCTTTCAGTATATTATTTAAAACTAGATGGTAAACAGTAATTAAGTTCTGCTTCAAAACTACAAAAACCTATACTTCTATGGATGTTTTAAAAGAATGGTCTCGTTTTAAAAGTCAGTACCTACAATGTGTTTATACGGTATAATTTTTGAACTTAAGCTAGAAATTAAATCAGAGTAGTATTTTCTTATAATCATTGTCTTCCTCATTCCTCCTTTTATCTCCTAAACATGACCTGTCCACATAAATTTTGACCACCTTCCTGTTATTCTTCGGATTTCAACGTAAGCTCGGTAACTGAATCTGATGACCAGCCTCCGCTTATCTGTTTCTTTGAAATTTATATTGCTACAATAAGTACTCGGTAGTCTACAACAATGGCCGTGAGTAAATAAATTGGATGTTAGTTTCCCCTTCAGTCCTTTAGGACTTTCCGTCTAAAACGCAGTGGCGGCTCGTCAAGGGAGGCAAGTGAGGCTCAGCCTCACCTAAGTATTATAAAGAAAAAGGAGGGACATATTCTATAATAAGTTATTTCTAATCGACTTCAAGAATATTAAAATACTCAATAATATATAATACATTTTTTTTTTTTTTATTAAAGCAGAAAAAATAAAAAATATACAATCTGTATAACATAAATACAATAAGTAATTTGGATAACAATTTTTACCAGACTGGACGGCTTGAGGGAAGGGAGGACCCATTGACACTACTTCCAATATGAACTTAATCTAAATTTAATTTAATTGTATAAAATAAATGTATTTATAATATATAATTTCGGTTAATTGGTTAGAAAATCACGCGGCCATTTTCGTTTGAGACGACGGGGAGGGTTGTCAGGTAGTGTTTTAGATCTTGGAAGCATGTGCTTGGCGACTAGGGGATTAGGATGATTTAGGACGTTTTTGTGAAAGTTATTATAGTTATGCAAAGCTAGTGCAGATATCGTTGGAACGTTGAGATCATGATGTAGGTATCTGTTACTTACATACCATGGGGCGTTTGTGAGGAGACGAAGGTTTATGGATTGGAAAGCTTGGAATATTTTCAGGTTTGAGATTTTTGTAGAGCCCCATAATTGGATGCCATACGTCATTGCCGGGCGTATCAATTGTTTATAAATTAACATTTTGTTTTCAAGTGAGATTTTAGAGCGGAGTAGTTGTCTTAGCTTGTGCAGACGGAGATTTAAGGGTTTTAGTTTTATATGCGTTGCCCAGGTCAGTCTTTTATCTAGAGACCTAGGTATTTGACTGATATGCCCATAGGGATTATTTTGTTATTGAGATAAACGAGGGGAATATTTTTTGGGCTGAGGGTAAAGGTAATATGAGTGGATTTGCTTTCATTTATTTTTATTCTCCATAAGTTGAACCAGTTTTGTAAGTTAGTTAGGTGGGCTTGGAGGTTATTTATGGCAGAGTCTAAGTTAGGACTGGATGAGGTTATTACAGTATCGTCTGCAAAAGTAGCTAAGTTGGTGTTATTTGATTGAGGTAGATCAGCTGTATATATATTTTCATGTAGGTGCGAGAATGCTGCCTTGAGGGACGCCTGCATTTATAGGATGAGTATTAGAATACTCTTCCTCACATCGTACTACGAAGGAGCGGTTTGTGAGGAAAGATTTTAAGGTGAGTTATAATGGAGTGGGTAGAAATAGAAGTTTATAAAGAAGGCCTTCGTGCCAGACACGATCAAACGCCTGCGCAACGTCGAGGAATACCCCTGAACAAAAGTTTTTTTGCTCAAGGGAAGAGGCAATGTTGTCAGCTATTCTGTGGATTTGATGGTGCTTCTAAAACCGAACTGAGCGTTAGGAATAATATTTTTTTCATTTATAATTGGATAAATTATTTTTAGGATAATTTTTTCCAGGATTTTAGAGAACGTTGGGAGAAGACTGATGGGTCTGTAGGAAGACGAGATATCGGGCGGCTTGCCCGGTTTATGAATAAGAATGATGATTGAGTGCTTCCATGAGGAAAGGATGTATGATAGGCGCAGTATGCCATTATATATATACGTAAGTAGTAGGATTGCTTTTTTCGGCAGTTTCTTCRTAATGGTATTGGTTATCAGGTCATGGCCAGGTGATTTATTATTTCGCAATTTACTAATAATGTTTTTAACTTCAGAAGAGGAAGTATGTTTTGTTGGAAGACACATTAGTAGGGTGTTGATTAATGTGGTTTCGACATGAAGGGAGTGTTCTAAATTTAAAATGTCTGTATAAGGCGTAAATCTACTTTCAAGATCAGTTGCGAAAAGATTTGCTTTGTCTAAGTTTGATGAAGCTAAGGATCTATCGGGATAACTTAGAGGAGGTGTTTTGTTTTTTCTTTTAAAATATTTTTTGTTGATATCCACAATGAGTTATCTGAGCTGGAGAGAGATTTTAGATACTGTAGATATTTTTCAGAGTTGTAGTTTCGAAGTACGTTTTTTAGGGAGCAATTGAGAGTATTATATATTTTTTTGTCACTAGGCAAGTGCATTCCTTGCCATCTACAACGGGCTCTGTGTTTTTCTGAAATTATTTGTGTTATGTGAAGAGGTAATTCTTTAGTGACTTTAGGGGCATTAGAGAGCATTTGGGAAGAATTTCGTGCTGCGTTTTGAAGGACCTTTGTAAATGATTGAACTGCATTATCCAAGCCTGCAGGTGTTTTTAGAGGGATGCTTAGTAAGATGAGGTCGTCTATAGTTTGGCTAAATTTTTCCCAGTTGTCATCAGTCCCATGTCGACCGTTGTCCATAAAACATCGTTCGCTACTACTCCGTTCAATTTTTTTTTTTTTTACTGTAGTCTACACCGATTTTCTCGGTAAGACGATATCTAAGACGTACATCTCGAAAAAAGGAAGCTGGGTCGGAAGAACCGGGCACCACTTCGGCGACTGTACCAGCATCTCCCTTGACTTCGATAACGTTAAAAAAATAATTACTCAACTAATTGTTATCTTCTGTACGGCTGCCGTGCCACGGTCGGTTACCGGGCCGATTGCCGTGTGGCGTACGTCTTATCAACGCGCGATAAGCACTAAATCCTAATTACCTGCGAGCACTATGGCATCATATAAATCTAAAACCGTCGTATCTCCTTTAATTATTTCTAAATCACGTATACAGAGCGTGCCAAATAAATCACCAAACCAATCTGCCCATTCAGAGCTTGAGGATGGCTGGACCACTCCGACTAGTAAAAAACGTGCAAATCCGCTTTCAACATCCCCAGACTCAAACCCAGTAACAAACACAAAAAAGTTTGTGTCTCAAAATCGTTTCGAAATTTTCTCCGACCCGGTTGACGAAACCGAAAAAATGGAACAAGATTCAGACCTCAATGAACCTCTCTCCGCCCAAATCAAACCTCCACCACCTATATTTATTTGCACTGTTAAGGACTACAAGGTATTTTGTGATAGCATCAAAGAAATAACAAAAGGGGAACCTTTTTTGTGCAAATGTTCCATTAATGGTGTCAAACTGTCCACTAGCTCTGCCGATTCTTATCGCACTGTGATTAAATTTCTACAATCCAACAAAGCTGATTTTCATACGTTCCAACTCAAAGAAGACAGAGCCTTTCTAAGTTGTTATCAGGAACCTACATCACACAACTCCAATTTCTGAAATCAAAAACGAACTTACAGCTCTCGGGCACACG